TTTTTTTAAAAGATGACCGGTAAGGGGATCTTAACCCTTGACTTGGTGTTGTCAGCACCACACTCAGCCAGTGAGCGAACCGGCCATCCCTATATGGGATCCGAACCCGGGGCCTTGGTGTTATCAGCACCGCACTCTCCCGAGTGAGCCACGGGCCGGCCCTGAAACCTATATTTTTAACAAGGCCGTGCCACTCTTCTCTCATTCTCAAGTGAATCTGATGGAAATTTCTGGTCAAGGGCTTTCTGAGGTCCCCTCCTCCCCTTGCACTTTGAAGATTTCACATTGTACCACCATGGAAAACACTGCGGAAAGCTGAGCATCAGTGAGGGGACTGGTAAAGAAAAGTCAAATGTTTTGAAAACACCCTACCGATCAACATAATGACCAAGTTGGCCGCTCCATATTTTTCTATCTCGTGGATCCAGTGGGGGACGGACTCGAACGTGGACCGCCGGGTGAGGTCATAGGCGATGATGGCCGCATGTGCACTGCGGTAGTAGCTTTGGGTGATGGTGCGGAAGCGCTCCTGGCCGGCCGTGTCCCACACCTGCATCTGGAGAAGGATGGGAGACGGAGTCCACATCAGGAGTTCCCATGCCTGATGGGAACATGTTCCCCTACATCGGCTTAAAAATAGTCTCCCGATCTCACTTTTAGAATCTCAGATTCAGTAGGTCTGGGGAGAGGCCCAGGAATCTCTTCTTTCAGTTGCTCCCTGTGTGATTTGGATGCGCTTCCAGGTTTGGGAACCACCACCCAAGGGACACTTGCATATAAGAAGTGGACCTATTTTGTCCTGGGGTCTCGTGTACTTTTGGCTTTTCACCTCAATTATCCCTTTGTCCAGATTTTGGGGTGCATCTTTTGAGGCTGTCCATTGATAAACACTGGCAAAGGTAACAGCATTGGCTGAACTGTTTTTGATTTTAAAGGACCACTCAAACCGTTCATGTTTAGGAGTGCCCTCATAATATTTTCCAAATTACCATTCTGAACAATAGCACCGATTTGTACAATGTTCTGAGGGTACCAGTTTTTTTTACATTCTAACACTATTTATATAAAATTTATTTTTTAAAGAAAGTTTTCCAACATTGACAAAACTAGAGAGAACAGAAAAGTGAATCTTCATACATCCAGATTCAATAATTAAGATTTTGCCACTTTTGGTTTACCTAGCCCATTCTGTTGATTTCCCTGAGATATTTTATAGCAAATCCTAGACTTCATATCATTTCATCTGTACTTCTATCAATATACATCCCTATAAAAATGGACATTTTGACTGGCTGGTTAGCTCAGTTGTTTAGAACATAGCCCTGTAACACCAAAGTCAAGGGTTCAAATCCCCATACCAGCCAGCTGCAAAAAAAAAAAAAAAAAAAAAACCCCAACCAGGACATTTTCTTCCATTATCACAATGCCATTATAACTGCTAATAAATGTTTCAATTACTCCTTGGTATCGTCTGACAACCAAATCATATTAAAATTTTCCTGATTGCCTGCAAAATGTCATTTTACAGGTTTTATTTCATCAAGATCCCAAACAGGATCCATTTATTACATTTTCTCTAACACTTTTGGATCTTTCCTAATCAAATGGGTAAAAGATATAGTATCTCTGTTTTAACTTGCACTTCTTTAATTAAGAGTAGGGACAGGCATCTTTACATCTTAACATAAGTTTATGAGCTAGTTCTTATAAAATCTGTGAAACAGCAGTTTTGTCCAATCTGTGAATTACCTACTTTTTGTATTTGTTGGTCTTTTTCTTAGGTATTTATCAGAGCTCTTTTCACATTAAAGAAATTATCCATTTGTCAGTCTCATATTTGCAAATATTTCCTTCCAGTTTGTCTTTTTTTGGTGGCTGGCATGGTCCAGTTTTTCATTTATTTTTTGACTTTTTTTATAGCATTTTTTGAGCATGTAGAAAATCTGACCTTTATATAGTCATATAGAAATGTATAAATTTGACCTTTATAGTTAGATTTAGTAATATTTTCCTTTATTGCTTCTGGGTTCAAGTCTTACTCAGAAGGCTGGTTTCCCCATTCCACTATGATAAGAATAAATACTCCTATGTTGTCTTCTGGTACTTTTATGAATTCATGTTTTATGCTTAAATTTTTTATTGCTCAGACATGTGTTTCTCTGTAGGGAACTCTAGCTAAAAGAGGTGGAGCCAACCCTGGTGCCCTCTGACCTTCACTTTCTTGCCATCGATCTCAAGGGAGCGCACGGTGAAGTCTACCCCAATCGTGTTCTGCTGTGTCTCGGTGTAGACTCCATATTTGAAATGCTGCACCACACACGTCTTCCCCACATTGGAATCCCCAATGAGGATAATCTTGAACAAATAGTCAAAGTTCTCATCAGCTGCCCTGGCTGACCTGGAGAACTGCATGGCTGTTGCCACCTAGAACAGACCTAGGAGGAAAAGGGGGCATTCAGCTGCTTTTTCATGAGCCCATGGAGCCACAAAAGATGACGAGATAGAGGGATGTCATTGCTTTCACAGAGCTAACACCTTCGGGGGAGAAAGACTCTAACGACTGGTCAGGTGCACACAGTTGCCCCCAGGAACCCATACCTGCCCTGTGTGTTGACGTTACTTTAGGGGTGCCCTTGGAATGAAGAGGTTGCACTGCCATTCTGTGGTGGGCCCAGCAGACAGTCAACACTGTCAGATTACAGCATTGATGAAATCCTAGTCCTGGAGATGAGGTGGCCCAGAGTGCCCAGACAGCAGGAGGATGGCAGAGGAAACACCCACAGCGGTGATTCACCTGCCATTAATCAGCAGAGAATGTGCCTATGTCGATTTTACCTGGGAAGGAAGACTCCCAACTAAATACTAGAAGACCCACCACCCAGACAACCAGCAGTAAGGACTAACAAGACTTGACCAGGAAGTCAGTTCAGGGAAGAGTGACATGGCCTTTTTATTCTGCTTGGCACCTAATTTTTCTTGACCAGGAAATCAGGATTTGAGAATATTCAAAGTTAAAACTGTGATTAGAATGTTACAGCATATTTTGGGCCGGCCCGGTGGCGCACTGCTACAGTGCACCGCTTGGGAGCGCGACGGCGCTCCCGCCGAGGGTTCGGATCCCACATACAGACCGGTTCCCACTCACTGGCTGAGCGAGGTGAGGGCGCGACACTGAGGGTTGCGATCCGTTGCGGGACACGAAAAAAGGCAAAAAGGCAAAAAAAAAAAAAAAAAACAGAATGTTACAGCATATTTTACCATAGGCTGGAAAATAAAGGTTTTTAATGACAGTGTTTCCCAAACTAACCGATTATCAGAATTATCTGGGGAGATAATTAAAAAGAAAAAAATTCCTGGAACCCATGTCAGATTCACTACATGTATTTTAAAATTAGAAAAACAAGGCCGGCCGGTGGCTCCCTTGGGAGAGCGTGGTACTGACAACACCAAGTCAAGGGTTAAGATCCCTTTACTGGTCATCTTTTAAAAAATAAAAAATAACTAAAATTAGGAAAAACCCAAAAAGCTATCTACACACACTCCCTGGGTGATTCTGATGTCCAGCCAGGTTTGGGAAACACTAATCAACACAATCACCCTCCTGAAACTTTATTCCCACTGTCAGTATCCCTGCTTAAATATCCACCTGTGTTTAAATCTTTGCTCACAAGAAGCTCACTACCTCCTGGAAAAAGCCATTTGCACTGGGCAGCTCTAACTGCTGTGGGGGGGAAACCTACCTCCCTGGGGTTTCCATCTGTCATCCATTGCTTCCCTTGCTCTGCAGATAAGTCAAATTCCTATTCCATGTGACAGCTCATCACATATTTGAAGCAACAAGCATATGGCCTCAAAGCAAGTATGCCTCGATCCTTCAACGGTTCTTCTTTTGATATTCGTGTTAGGTCTCCTCATCAAATACCTCATAAAAGCAAATGAAACCTTATCTAACTTGATGATTAAATTTGATGTGTTGCAAATTGCTCCTACCTTGTGACTCCTTTCTTCCTTTCCCCGTTTTATTTTTTGGTTTTCTCTAAAGTCGTAGAAAAGGACAAGTCTATTATCATCACACAAATTAAAATGCACACAAATATCCAATCTGTATATAAGAACCCAGGGCTTTAAAGGGGTGAAGGACCCCATTCCTCTCTTGGACACCTCTGAAATCACACATGGCTAATGACCCAGCAGACAAGACACACCATCAAATCACTTTTTTTTACCCGGTCTGACTTTTCAACTAAAGAAAGCCATTCCACTTCCGGTGTCTTATTGCTGTGACTTGAGCTGAAACCCTATTGTCATGTCTTCGGTCCCCACTCGCCGCCTCCCCAACCCCACCCGGTAAGTCCTCGGGGTTTCCATGAAAGCCCCTGATGACTTCGCCTACGCGCCCCCAGCCCGCAGCCTTCACCCGCCCGGCTCACCTGTTGCTCACCTGTCTTGCTCTCTCGCCTCTGCTGCAGGCAGGTATTGTTTCCTTTTTCTCCAGGTTGTCCCTTTCAGCCCTCAGGGCCCCTCTTCCTCCGGCCTCGCTGCGTGGTGGGAATTGTAGTTCTGGCCCCAGGTGTCAGGTTTGGGGACCCAAGAAAGTGAAAGGACAGCGCCGTCCCTCCCACCTCCCCCGGGCCCGGAGCAGCCTCCGGGGACAGCGCCGCAGGGGAGGGGCTGGCCCTGCAGGGCACCGCGCACCGCCGCCTTCCCCAGCGGGGAAAAGACTCAGCCGCTGAACTCAGCCAACACCCAACACTCTCTGCGACTCGCCTTCTTGTACGCATCCTTTGCCCTGACATCTCCCAGGGGTCTCTTCTGGCTGGGTTGGGGGGTAGTTAGTGGAGAGGGCGACTTAAAGGAGGATAAAGATCTGGGTCTGCAGTCATTTAATGGTTTTGCAGATTTGAATAACTCTTTTGGAGAAGTCACAGAGAGGAAGGAGGTGATGCAAAGGAAAGATAAAAAAAAAACTAAAAGAACTTTGAAGGTGTATGGGAAGAAAGCTGAAAAAATTTTCTGTCTCCCTCAAAAATTCTACAAGACAGGGAAGGCTAATTTCTAGCTATGAGAACACCTAGAAGTTTATCAGCCCCGGATGCTGGCAGTGGAAGTATAAAGTGGAGGTGGGTTTTCCTGGCTCTTTCCCACCCAGAGTCTGACAGTAACTGCCTCTCAATGCCTATCCAAGGGACTAGATCTTCTGCACAGTGTAGGATGAAATGTGCAGGCAATTAAGCAGCATTACAGGCACAGTGAGCAAAACAGAAACATCATCCCGATTGATAAAATATTTAAATTGGTGTAGTGTTTTCAAACTGTGGGCTGAGACCTATCAATGAGTCATGAAATCAATTTTAGGGGGTTGCAACCAGCATTTTTATATGAAGAGATTAGACAAAAATTTCAGAATGTATCTCATGTAGTAAGGATAAGTGTTTTACAAAATGTTTGGGTCAGTTGTAATATATGCATATTGTCCTGGGGGTGATGTAAAATGTATTTCCTACTGTGGGTTGGGGTTCAAAAAGTTTTAGAAGCACTGAAATAAAAGATAATTTATTCACTGTCCAAGAACATTGTTTCTATGATTACTTCAGATAACCCTTAAAATACGATTTGTCTTATTCCAGTTTCCATTTATGCATCAGTTTTCAAGAACCTCTCTCTCGGGGGGAAAATAACCTGATGCTGGCAGGTAGAGCAGGAACACGTGATGTTGGGAAATGCTGCCTCAGGCTTCTCCTTGAGAGCCACCTTCAGGCGGCTGCAACATGGAAATCCAATGTAGGTCAAGATCCACCACGAATGTGCAAGCAGAGGCAGGAAACAGAACGTCAATGTCAATGAGGTTAGGTGTCCAAAAGTTTTCTTTCTTCTGGTAACGGTGTTTAAAAAAAAAAAAAAAGTCAGCTGACTCAGACCCAGCACTTGGAAAGCGTCTAGAGGTAGAAATCAAATGTTAAAATGTCCCAATGGGGCCAGCCCATGGCTCACTCGGGAGAGTGTGGGGCTGATAACACCAAGGCCACAGGTTCGGATCCCATACAGGGATGGCCGGTTAGCTCACTGGGTGAGCGTGGTGCTGACAACACCAAGCCAAGGGTTAAGATCCCCTTACCAGTCATCTTAAAAAAAAAAAAAATAAAGTCCCGATGGTGATGGAAGTCAAGAAGAGAGAGATTCTCCCGCTCCCCAATGACACTATTTACCAAGGTGACTATGAGTACAAAGAGCATAGCTTGGGCTATAGGGAAGGCATTCTTGACCTGAGTGGTGGTGACACAGGTTATACACTTAATTCTTATAAATATACACATATGTACACATACACATAAACTTCACTATATGTTTTTTTTTTGCCATTTTAACTGTTTTTAAATGTACAGTTCAATGGCATTAAATGTATTCACATTATTGTGCAAACAACACCACAATTCATTTCCAGAACTTTCTCATCATCCCATACTGAAACTGTACTGAAAACCAAAAAAATCTGCTCTGATCAGGTCAGCTGTATTATAGTGCCTTGGAAGATCTAGGATAAGTCAATAATCATGTCCACCTGTCCTGGAAAACATCATAAGAACATTTTACTTAGAAGAAGACATACTGGCGCCAGAAACCCATAAAATACCCTAGAATACTTTTTATTACCCTTACCCTAGATATCTGCGTGTAGGATGTAATCTAGTAACAATCCCAAATTTATATGTTATGTACCACCAATAAAAAGCCTGATGAAGTAATTAGGTGGGGTTATCTTTCTCTGTCTCTCTCCTTTGGCCCTTCCCTCTTCTTGTGATTGTAAAATGTTAGCTCTGCTGGCCCTCTTTGGAAAATATTTTCCAGCGCTACCTGATCTATGTGTATCCCTGGTTGTAATTGTCACATAGGCTCAATAAATCCTTGCTATATGTATTTGGTCTCAGTTTCTTTTTAGGTCAGCAGTACTCATTGTTAAATAAAATTACAGGAGGCCATTGTTTTGGACTAAGTTCCTACGGTAGGTCCCAAAAGACGAGACTAAAAATTAAAATGGAGTCACCCTGGCTAAGTTCTATGTCACTTAGGCTGTGGTCTGACCTTCCGAGAAGTCAGGAGAAAGAGACAATTTCCTGAACAGGCTAGTTTAAATCTTCAATATGGGCTACTGGTTAGCTCAGATGGTTAGAGTGCCACCTTGTAACACCAAGGTTAAGGGTTTGGATCCTTGTAATAGCCTACTGCCAAAAAAAGCCCCCCCAAAACAACAACAAAAAAACTTCAATAGGTATGATAATGAGGTTCCCTCTGCTTTAATCCTTACACAGGATAGAGAGCCTGAAATAACCTGATGTTATTTTTCTCCTTTTCTGACTTTCTGGCCCCATCTTACAAGGAAAGTAAGTTTGAAACGAACAATCCGCTTTTAGTTCTTTGTTTCTGCTTTCTTTAGCCTTTTTCTGTCTATAAAACCAACCTTCTCTGCTTGGCTCATTGGAACACTTATTCTATTTTGTGGAATAACGTGTTGCCCGATTGTAGAATTGGAATAAGGCCAATTGAGATCTTCAACTAAATTTGTTGTAATTTTGTTCTTGACATCATTAAACAATAACTTCCCATGTCTTTCTGCTGGAAAGAGCAGGACTGAAGCCGTGTTGGGACCTAAAACTGCATGGGCTCTAAAAGATTTTGAAAGGATACAGTTTATTTCTTGGCATGCATTTCTCTGAGTTCCCCCTTTTCCCATGGTTATTTGATATTTTGAACCTTGGTTATGGAGCAAGATTTATTTACATGAATGTAAAGTTGTTTTCCAGCCAGCCTAGAGCTGCAGACTTGTCCACACTGCGCAGACACTGGGAAACTAAAAAAGACATAAACAAACAAAAAACTATGCTGATAACAGCAAGGACAAGAGCAGAAACCAGAGTCTTGGCAAAACTTTGCCCCGAGACCTTGCTTGAAGCCCTCCCGGCTCACGTGCCCCTCCCTCCTGCTTTTATTTCCCAAATTCCATTCCTTCATCCCTGTTGGGAAAATAGAATGGTTTGATCAGGATGCTCACCACGGGTCCGGTTGGGTGTGGTTCAGCACATCCTTTGTAAGCAAATTGTGTGTGTGTGTGCATGTGTGTGGAGTTGGTGCACATGCGTGCCCATGTATCTTTTTAGTTTTGTTGCTATTCTTGCATTCTTCAAAGTTTGTGCAGCGGGCTGTCTGGCGGTTTACTGCCTCGGGTGAACGCTGCCACTCCGAGCGGCCATGCTCTCCAACCTACGGCTTCCAAGGACCTGTTTGCCGGTTACCTAGCTCTTAGACCTGCATGTAAGGGGTTTGGTGACCCAGCCTGGTGTGTGAGGGGTTTGTGACCCAGTCTGTGAATGGGCTTGAGGGGTCTGTGAGCTCCAGACCCAGCCCTAGCTTTACAATTGGTGTCACAAACAGGATTGAGAGCTTTACAGTTGGCACAGTGAGCAGGATTCCGACATTAGCCTTAGCATGACAATCCCCCTCTTTAAAAACCCCTCAGTAAAGCTGGGTCTTTGAGATGGCTTTAGCCTCGCCACTCTCCTTCAGGTTTAATGGAGGGATGAGTTAGCCAGCCATCTCTCCTTGGGTCACCAGTATTCCGGAATAAAAGCTGACTTCCATTTTCACCAACATTTGACTTTTGATTGGTTTGCTTTTGTCTGGGGGCAGGCAGCCAGACCTGTGGGTTCGGTATCAATTGGGGAGAGCCTCAGCCAGTTGAGTGGCCCCTGTAACATTCCTACCCCCAACCCTTGGTGACCACCATTCTACTTTCTGTCTATGAATTTGACTACTCCAGGTACCTTGAATAAATGGAATCATACAGTATTTGTCCTTTTGCATCTGGCTTCTTTCTTTTCTTTTCTTTTTGCAGCTGGCCAGTAGGGGCATCCAAACCTGTGACCTTAGTGTTACAAGGCTGCGCTCTATGGTTGATTTCACTTAGCATAATGTTTTCAAGACTCATCCATGTTGTAGCAGTTATCAGAATTACAGTCCTTTTTATTATTTATTTATTTATTTATTTATTTATTTATTTATTTATTTATTTATTTATTTAAGAGGACCGGTAAGGGGATCTTAACCCTTGACTTGGTGTTGTCAGCACCACGCTCACCCAGTGAGCTGACCAGCCATCCCTATATGGGATCCGAATCCGGGGCCTTGGTATTATCAGCACCGCACTCTACCGAGTGAGCCACGGGCCGGCCCCATTATTTATCTTTTTTAAAAAAATTTTATTTTATTATTATTATTTTTTTGTCTTTTTTTGTGACCGGTAAGGGGATCGCAACCCTTGGCTTGCTGTTGTCAGCACCGCGCTCAGCCAGTGAGCGAACCGGCCATCCCTATATGGGATCCGAACCCGTGGCCTTGGTGTTATCAGCACCACACTCTCCCGAGTGAGCCACGGGCCAGCCCCACGAATTACAGTCCCTTTTAAAGCTAAATAATATTCCATATTATACTTCTAAAAATAAAAGTGACATGTTTGGCTGATTTATTTTTGCTCACCCTGACATTTCATTTCCCCAGCCACACCCTTGGATAGCTGGAGACAAAACTACCACCGGGGTGTGAAAGGGCAAATACAAAT